ATGTTATATGCGATAGTACCTACCAATAACTATAAAATGCCATCTTCCAGCTTTCATAAGAGATGAAACGCCCATTTTCTCCGGATTTTGGCTCCCGTATTTGCATTCGTAGGTGACCGCTATTGTATTTGAAATCAGGGTGACCCTTTGACCCGAGCCCTTTCTACCAATGAGCGTTCGATGGGCGGAGCTTGTCAGGGAGTAGTTGTGTTTTTCACGCCGCGACGCTCGATAGCGCCAGAAATTATCATTTTTTTGCGAATTTACAGACAAATTATTACAAACGTATGACAAAATTGGATAAATAAGAGTCTGATAGTCAAGTGGATTGCTTTTTTCTTTTTTGGTGAGTGTAGTGTGCGAGTTTATTCACAAACCAGCCGTATTCGTTTGGTGTACAGCGATTCCAAGTGCGGACGTTTCATACCCTGTCTTTATTTCTATACTAGTATATAACCCTACCCAAGCCTATCTCCCTTAACCATAAATCCTGTTGCAAGCGCCCGTGGGCCAGACGGAGGCAAAGTTTCGTCATATGACCTTTATACTTTGGACCGTGACGTCATCATACACAGTATAATCGTCTGACGATCTCGTTTTCGTGCCACAGACCACCAGGACATTTGGAGAGAAATATTGAAGGTAAATTATTACTATTTATACGTTACAAGTATAAAATCGTTTTCGTCAAGAATTTAGGGACACCGTGTTTCAAGAAAAGTTGTAAGTATAAGCTTAGACTGTCTGCAAATTGCATTCAACATGTGTCTGCATTTCCGAATTGGGGGCATTTCGCCCATTTACCACTTCGCCCGAACGGTTTCGCCCGATTACCTGTTCGCCCGATTACCATTTCGCCCGATTGCCATTTCGCCCGATTACCAGTTCGCCTGATTCCTCGTATGTTTGGTATTTACGTGTAGTCAAAACAAGATAACGTAGAAGTCGAAATTTGTTTTTATAAGGTGACGAACGTGAAGTTTACAACGGGGTTGTAAAGTAATTTTATGCCGTTGCGGCCATCTTGTGTGGTGATGAAC